TGTTTCGAACTTAGAATTCCAAATCTCATCCGTATACATAAGTAGCTTACTAAATGGCTGGTTCCTTCACCTTTGGATATTTTTGCCCTACCCAAAGCTATTTATTTTAAAATTTTATTCCTTTCAGGTCTCTGTATTTAAGTTGTGATTTATTAAATGTTTGTTGGATTTAATGAATGGTCTGCTTTGATTGATAGTGTGGCCCGTTTCCTGGAATCACGAGGTATGATAGAGGATGCTCTAGAAGTAGCTACAGACCCTGATTACAGATTTGAGCTTGCCATACAGCTTGGTAGATTAGAGATTGCAAAGGTAAGAAAGTTGATAAAGTGGTTTGGTAATACAAGTACATCTTCTCAGATCTTTTGTTTGCTTGACTCGAGTTATGCATCCCATTTTGTTTTAAGCTTTGATTGTTCCATTTAAAAGTTTTTTTATTCTCATACTCTTTTATGCAGGAAATAGCTATGGAAGTTCAGAGTGAGTCTAAATGGAAGCAGTTAGGAGAATTGGCTATGTCCACTGGAAAGGTGTTTTGTTTTTATCTAATGTGCAAAATTTTTTTCAGTGCCTCTACTCTGTCTGTCATTCGTCATCCTCCTTGCTTCTATACTGGTGTCATGATGTGGTTGCAAATCATGATTCGAAAATGTTAAGTGCTTTTGGTGATGAATGAAATCTCTCTTAAAAGAAGTAGTAATAGACAGCTTTGCCTTGAAATAAATTATTTCTCAATTTGTCCGAGCTGACTTAGTACTAAACTAAGATTGTGTAACTGGAAAATGAAATGTAAGAAGACCTTCTTATACTTAGTTTCTTGTTCATTGATGGACTTTGTACATTGCAGTTTTCTGATATGGATTTTGAATTTTGTTACATGCACTAGCTGTTTGATTTAATGTTGCTTATGCACGTCATATCAGTTGTTGGTTTGGACTTTGCCTTCGTTGCTTGCTTTTGTGTCATTTCTACTAATTATGCCAAATTTGTCTTTATTCTGGCTGATATTATTGCAGCTAGAGATGGCTGAGGAATGCATGAAGCAGGCAATGGACTTGAGTGGTTTATTACTTCTTTATTCCTCTTTGGGAGATGCTGAAGGGATATCAAGACTTGCATTGCTTTCCAAAGAGCAGGGGAAGAATAATGTTGCTTTCCTTTGTTTATTCATGTTAGGTAAATTGGAGGAGTGCCTTCAGCTTTTGGTGGAAAGGTAATTCCTGTTCAAGCACCTGAAACATAGACTGCCATTCATGTCGTTATGGTTATGGATATATTGAGGTATTCCTTTTGCAGCAATCGGATACCAGAGGCTGCTCTGATGGCACGATCCTATCTTCCAAGCAAGGTTTCAGAGATAGTAGCAATTTGGAGAAAAGACCTGAACAAGGTCCGTTAGCATTACTTGTTTCTCTGGTGATTTTTTCCGGCTTTTTTCGTGACATGCTGGGTTAACTGTATTATAATATTTTGTTCATATTGGTTCCACGCGTTTGATTTTCTGAATAGTTTTACAAGACTCGAGATATTGTGTTTCTATAATCAATAATATAGAGCACTGTTCTTCCTCCCTTCTATTCTTCCTTTCTAAACTAATCACGTGCATGAGCTATGTCTATGTGTCTCAACATCGTCCTAAATACGATTTCAATATATCTAGTTTCATATTTCCCAGATGTAAACCAGTTTAGATTGGCTTCTTACCTTTTTTTTTTTTTCAAGTTTACAGTTAATATAGTATATGACACCTTGATATTTTGCTGGAAAAGATTGGTGTGAAATTCTGCTGGTAGACTTTATATATGAAACATAAGAAAAAGAGTCTTATCCTCCTTTTCAATCATTGCAGCAGTAAAGCACTGCTGGAATCTCCGATGGGAATCTCTATCATTTGATAAGTCATTAGTGGTGCATTATGAATATCGTTTTATTTCTGTACTCAATCCCCACTATATTTAACTTCTACCATATTCTTTTTACCCTTTGAACATGAATTTGGACTTGCATGTTTCTTGTCATCACACTCAAAACTATCTGCCCTAACATTTTATTAATTATGTTACTTGTTAATTTTGATTAATTGTAGACTGCCATCATTTGACCTTTTCTTACATCATTTGCAGGTTAATCCAAAAGCTGCTGAATCTTTGGCTGATCCTGAAGAGTACCCTAACTTATTTGAGGATTGGCAAGTTGCTCTTTCTGTTGAATCTAAAGTGGCAGAAACAAGGTACCAAACAGGATTCCTGTCTGTTATTTATTGTTGTGTTGATTTTACTGTTTTGCTAGGGAATTTTGCGTACATTTCTATGCTGCACTTTTCTGTGATTTCTTGGGACAAATCATTGTTGAATTTCAGTCATTTGGCCTTTTTTGGTAGCTCTATAACTTTTTTTTACACTCACTTTGGTTGAAAAGCCTTGTGGATGACGCATCCTACTTGTCTCTCACATGGATATGCTATTAACTTTCAATTGGTTTGTAGGGGTGTTTATCCTCCTGCAGCGGACTATCTGAACCATGCTGATAGATCGCAGATGACACTTGTGGAAGCTTTCAGAAACATGCAAATAGAGGATGAGGAGCCTCTTGAAAATGGTGACCTTGATCATGAGGTATATACTCCTTATGTATCTGTTTTTCATTTTAAATTGTTAGCATGTGAAACCTAGGAACTGGTTTGAGTGGTTCAGGACTCTTGTTTGAATTAACTGTCTTTGCCCTTTATTTGTGGGTGTCACAGGCTGCAGAACCAAATGGACATGATCAGAATGCAGAGGAGCAGAATGGGGAAGAGGGTAGCCTAGAGGAGGCTGTTGTTGTGGATGCTGATTCTAACGATGGTGCAGTACTCGTTAATGGTAACGAGCCTGAAGAAGAGTGGGGTACGAATAACGAAGGAACCCCGTCAGCCTAAAAGCAATTGGTTGGGGCAGTGTGAAAATCGAAATTTTGTCTCTGGTGATTAATTGTTTCTAAAATGCCATCTCTAACCCCTTTCTCTTTTGGGATTCTCTGACTCCGTTTTTATGATTTGTTCACAACCACTAACTGTACCACTCCTACTACCTGCTAATTTTAAACAGTTTTCCTGACTTGTTTTCATCTTATTTACTAATTGGGATTGGGTGCCTGTTTTTTAATGGTTGCTAAATGCACCTTTGACTTTCCTAAATTATGATGCAATTACTAATAGCTCCTTCTTAGGTGTATTGACAAATTTGTGTTGCAAACTTGGGCAAGATCAAGTTCATCTGATACCTATTGATATTGACTAATATATATGATGCACTCCCATTAGCTTCTGATCCCTCATATTCCCTGTAACTCTTGTTCTTATCTAATTTGTTTTTGTGCAATCAATTTATTGCATTTTTGCATCAAATTTAATAATGTTGTTTGTATTATGTATACCATAGAACATTAACGTGAGTGTTAAATTTTGTTGTACTCTTTTTCTTGTGATGTTTTATGGCAGTTCTTTATTTCTGTAATACCTTGATTCCTACATGTTAATGTTTTTTTATTTTTTTTTTGTTTCATGTTGACAGTGCTTACACCAGATCACTAGGTTACATGAGGACAATTCAGTTCGGGCTCCATTAAGCGCATATTGAAGGTGGGGAAGCATCATCTTTATTATTATTATTATATTAATTGGAAAAGGGGATTTGATTATATTCTGGTTAGAATTCCCTTGAGACATGCCCTAAGTTTTGATTAGAGCTGGTAAAGTGCAAATTTTCTTGTCTTATTAGATTGGGCCTCTAATGGTGTGCAATTGTGCATAAATTTTAACCTTTACACTGAATCTCATGTAGATTTCTAGTGTAATTTGTTGTTTTGCACATAAATATCTAAATAGAATGCTTCGGTTTTGACATTTATGGAGATGCTTATTAATCATTCTGGAATAGAGCACTGGTAATTCTTCATTTACTCAAAACTGTGGTAGTGTGGTTCCCCCTGTTGTTGTTGTTGTTAAACTTTTTTATTTAACTAGCAGGTTTCAAACTAGAAGCTAGAAGGATGTGATATATAAAGGGCTGGTTGTCTTCCATTCCTGGTGATTCGGATCTCAAGCACATGGAATTTTGGCATGGGGCATATACAAGTATTCAGTTAGCTACAAATTATGATTTTAGCTGCTTGTCTTTTAAGTTTTAGCATATTCTTTGGAGGCATTTTGTCTTAAAAATTTTTCTTGTGCCATTGTGAATGTAGAAAGAATTGAGAATTAGTGATGATTACCCAATTCAGCCCATTCTATGTTGTTTAAATTTAGATGTTCTGTTTCCGCTTGAGGCTTTGAATCTTCTGGTTGGGTTGTGGGTATGTTTTTTCCTCTCCATATGAAACTGTACTGTAAACATATCTTCTACATAAAAAGCATGATATTGTTCGTTCAATCACCGGATTTTTCTGCCTCTTGCTCCGTCGTAACTAAGCTGTCGCATATGTCATTATAACAGTAAACAATCTGCGGAAATAATGAAATGAGAAATTGAACCTGAAAATGTAGCTGCTCTGTATCAAATTTTCCGGGCTGCATCTGGAATTTGGCCAAGGAGGGGTAGCAAGTGGGTTTGTTTGCCCAAGGGCAGCTTGGCAACTGAGTTGTGTATAATTTACCTGTTTTTAATCCAGGTAAATTGAAATTTAAATCGTATCGTTTTGTCTGTAGCGTACTAATTTTTATCAAATGAAAGGCTCCCGAGCAGAGTGAGTTAAATGTTTACTATTATAAAATTACAGAAAGTGATGTCTAAAGTCTTACAACTATAGCAATCGTTCTTGAGATTTTATTCTCCCTTTGATATTTATCTTAAAAATTTTATTTTATTCTATATATATCACACAAATAAAACAAATAATCTTTTCTTTTTGATTAAAAACACATGCACACATGAATTACACGTGTGAAGAAACCATAGAAATTCCACGCGGCATCTAGTGAGAACGCCCTCTATCCCGTCTCCCCGCAACCCCGCAGCAGAAATGAAAAGGCCAAACCCAAGGTCCCTTCCATATCCAAACCCCTCAACCTCAAAATTCCCAAAATAAAAAAAATATTAAGACAAAAGATAAAAAATAAATATTATATTAAAACCCTTTTACTCTTTGGATCTCTCTCTCCTCTCTCTCTCTCTCTCTCTGTGTCACTACTAGGGTTTTGCGTCTGCTTTCGCTCTGTTCTGCTCTTATGTAAGTCCCATTCCATTCGCTCTTCTTTACTATCTAAATCTTAATCTCTCTTTTTTTTTTTTCTATTTGGTCTTTAATTCACAATTCTTCTTTCCTTTTCCTTTTTATGAATATCTTGCTAGATTTTCTCTTTTTCTGGCTTTAAAATTGAGCCACGCATATCTTTTTTAAGCGAATTTGTTAAGTTTGATGACATTCTTGAATGCCCAGTTCATAACAATCGTCAGATTCTTGTTTGTTTGCTGGGAAAACGCACAAAAGTAGCGTGACTGAAGTTAATTCTTTAGTTCTACTTTCTGTTTCCTTTGGCTCAAAGAGGCCATTTTTATTTAAGGTATTGATGTTTAAAAGTAAAATATAAATTTAATTTCTTATTTGTTAGTTTGCATCTCTTTTATGTTGAACCCTTAGTTCTGTGGTTCCACACAAAATGTTGGCTTTTTCCTCTCCCCCCAAAATTCTTGTATTTAGATATGCTAAAGAAAAGGGGATTTCCCCTGTTTCAGACAGGTGGGTTCTGCTATCGAAACGGCAATAATTTCTTGCTCTGTTTATTTATTTATTTATGTTTTGAAATCTTCTAGTATTCTGATACTTGTGCTAGTTGGCCACCTTTTGCTTCTAAAGTTTAGCTTTCATTTTTTGACTGTTATCTTTTTGTATGCCCCTTTGATTATTATTTCATACGGAATTCTATTCTTTTGCCTTTTCCATTCTAGTTTATGTATATTGTAGGGTGCTTTTCAGATTACTTTTTTTTCCCTTTTTTTTTCTCAAGATATAAAATGGTTTTCAGAAAATGTAATTTGTAATTCTAAGCTGAAGAATGCTTATAAATTGTCATTTATAGTGGACATTGGCTAGATGATTACTTCTGCTCTTGGTTTTAATTTCGTCTCACTACATTCTTCTGAGAGAGTTAAAGAGTTATTGATCAATGATTGATGAACCAGAGTAAACTTTTGATTTTTTGTCCCTTATGATTTTAGTTTTATTTGTATGTATGTGAAGAAAGGGTATTTGTTCAAGATTTCATTGGGTGTTTTCCCTTTTTTAGATAAGTTGACGATTACTGCTACATTCTTAAGGGATTCTTGTTCTGACAGTTTCATTAGTCTGGTAATGGGGAAGAAAGCAATTTGATACCATAATGGGATTCAAGTTATACCTAACTATGACTTGAGCTTAGCATCTCTCTCTCTTTGGGGGGGGGTTGTGATTCTTTTCCCCTTTGCATTCTCTAATTTGGAACCTTTGTGGTTTTGGGGTCAATGTTTTCTCCAATCAAATGTCTTTGAGGTCTGTGTGGTGGCAACATCAGTCAGAGCCTGCTGCTATATGTGGAAATTAGCTCGTGAAATTGTCTGTTCTTGGTGATGCGAAATTGATTGCATGTGATATGTGAAACAACAAATTTGTTCTATTAGGGAAAGTTGCCTGCAGGTTTTGGATTAAGTTGTATTGAGATACTATTAGTTATACCCAATCTGTGCTTGAAAGTTATTCCCTGCAGGAAGGACTTCTTGGATTTTATTGTATTAAATTTTGTATGTTTATAAGTAATCATTTTGTAGAGTTAAAATAGTTGAAATTTAAAGCAAATGTATGCATGGGTTTACCCAGTATGCGGTTCATTTATTTTAATTATATTTTTGTTCTTGTTCTGTGCACAATGGTGCTTCATAGGTTTTATTATGATTGACATGGGAACTTTGGACACATGTCTTGTTTCCTTGGAAGATAGCTTTGTCTATCCCAAACCTTTAGCAGATTGATGCAGAGCCTTATCACCTGTTGCCAGAAAAATTTACGTTTATGTGGATTTATGTTTGTGTTAATGTATTATTTATTATCGGACCATGCACTATGCATTGTTCCTAGATTTTAACGAGATTCTTGTGGAAATCTGGGCATAAGTTCTGTGTCTGTTTAGTGGTAAATATCCTTTGCTATTACATATTGGTGAGGAGTGTTAGCCTCTTGGGCATCTGTTTTACTGTTTATGTGCTAAGTTTTGCAGCTATTTTCCACTGTTCACTTATTATGGTTTGATGAAAAATTATAAGCTGGCCAAATTCATGTTAATTTGTCTTCTTATCATCTCATTGGATATATCATATCTAATGATCTGCAGACCCTAGTTTCCACAACAACATCCTCAAGTTTTGGTTTCTTGGCTTATTACTGCAATGGGGGATGCAGAAAATGCCCTTCCACCTTCAAAGAAGAGGGCTGCTGGAAGAGAACTTTCTCGGGATAACCCTGGTCTTGATGATGATGAAGATTCTTCTGAACAAGAGACCGGAACTTTTAAGAGGGCTAGTGATGAAGTGTTGGCAAACAGAAGAATACTTAAAGTTCGCAGAAATCAAACCACTTCAGCTGCCTCATCCAATCCTTTTTCTGCGATTCGCTTGGTTCCCCCTTTGGAACCAACCATTACTTCTGACACACCTAGTGCAGCCCCTGAATCCAGCACAACCACCGCTGAGGTTACAGCTGAAGCACCAATTGCCAATGAGAAAGAAGTTTCAGAAGATGGGAAAGATGATGTTAACAAATCTGAACAGAATGAAGATGGAAATAATAAGCAGTCAGAGAAAAAAACAGATGAAACAGAGCCTGGGTCGGCAAAGAGTGAAAGTGAGAATATTAAACAGTATGAAAATAAGGAGGATGAGCTAGTTTCTGATGCTGTTGCTGATAAGGAAAGTGCTGAGGATAAGGGCAGTAATGTTGTAAATGAAGAAATTCTAAAGGAGGCCAATGATGAAAAACCAGCAGGAGGCGGTAAAAGTGAGGATGAAGATAAGAAAGATGAAAAACCTGCAAATGAAGATAAAAAAGATAAGAGTAGTGAAAATGCAGATTCAACTGCAGAAGGTGCATCGTTGAGTTCATTCCAACAGCTTTCAAGTAGCCAAAATGCCTTCACAGGACTTGCTGGCACTGGATTCTCTACTACTTCATTCTCCTTTGGATCTACTCTAAAGGATGGTTCTACTAGTTCTGTTCCACTTTTTGGGCAGAAAAATGACCAGCCTTCCTTTGGTTTTGGTCTTTCGACAAATGGAAACTCTTCCCTCTTCAACACATCAGGGACTTCAATTGTTTCCAAGAGTGAGGGAAGTGGTTTTCCAGCCATGCAGGAGGTTCCAGTTGAGACGGGAGAAGAGAATGAGAAAGTGGTGTTCTTAGCTGATTCTGTGCTGTTTGAATTCATAGATGGGGGTTGGAAAGAGCGTGGGAAGGGAGAACTTAAGGTGAATGTCTCTACAACTGGGACAGAAAGAGCCAGGCTACTCATGAGAGCTAAAGGAAATTACAGGTTGATTCTAAATGCAAGTCTTTACCCAGATATGAAGCTGACAAATATGGACAAGAAAGGTATCACTTTTGCCTGCATGAATAGTACTGGTGAAGAGAAAGAGGGGCTGTCTACATTTGCATTGAAGTTCAAGGATGCTTCCTTAGTCGAAGAGTTTCGTGCGGCTGTAATGGCACACAAAGGCAAGGCAGGTGCTGTTCTGAAGACACCAGAAAACTCTCCTAAAGCCTCAGAGGGTTGAAAGGTGTTTCGCTTAATGTGGTCTGTCCTGGACTTGCCAATTCCAGTAGTCCTTTTTCTTTGTGGAAGAAGGGTTCTTGCTTGGGTATGCTTAATCCTAAGCTCTTCTATGTAGCAGAGTTAATAGAGTCCAATCCTTTTTGTTGTTAAATTGTGTAGCCTGCGGGAGAATGTTTCAGCTTGTTTTTTGTGTCAATCCTGGAATTAAACAACAGCTTGATCTTCAAAGCTATCAAGACTGCTATATTTGACTGTTATCACAGCTGTGCCCTTGATCTGGGATTAAAATGTGGAATTGCTAGGAGTCCTAAACTCTACCTTGATAGCTCCAGAGTCCAGAGGGTAGTGTTGTATCAGATATTATTCTACTGTAGTATGACCAAAAAATAGAGATTTGTGGTACACTCCTGTTTGGACAAAGGTTATAGGATATGGTGTCCTCTCTAAAATAAATTCCCAATTTCCTTGATGAAGCTAGTTTTAAGATTTTAGGATGCGTCTGCTATGCACCATTATTATTATTATTATTATTATTATTATTATCCACTACATCAAGTGTCTTCTCGTTCTGCAGCTTATTCGGATTTTTTGCTTTCCAAATTCTGAAAACCTAAAGGAAAAACTTAAAAATTCACCAAAATAGAATTTAAATAAATATATATTTACTAAATAAATTAGGTAAATAATAATATTAAAATAATGTTATTTAATATTGGCTAACAATATTATTTAATTCTATCATATCTTAATAATCATTTGGAAATTAGTATTTTAATTATATTAAATATTAATTAAATACTATAATTATATAAAACATTGATTCATATTATTTAACATAATCATAATATCAATTAATTTTGTTTGAAAATTACATTACATAATTTCTATAATTATTTTTAAATTCTATTATTTTAAATTATTTTATAAAATATTAAATTATTTCATATAACATAAAACAATTTTGTAAAGCATTATATTATAAAATCATATTAATAAATAGTATTATGAATTTATTATTTTATACTAATTAATAGTATTATTTGAAAAATATTATTTAATATTGATTAATATTACAAAATCATTATATTATTTATAAATTCTTAAATTATAAATAACTATAATATTATTATATTTGTAACTATTCATAATTAGTAAGTTATTAAATCATCAAATATCTACTAATTATTAAATTATATTATATTAATATATGACATTAAACTATATAATTTAAATATTATAAAATATAAATAAATTATAATTTTTAATTTATATTCACTATTTTCTATATTTTTCAAAAAAATTTCATATTCTAATATAACTACTTGTGGATTTTGAAGTTTTTAATATTTAATTAAATGTTTTCCAATTTATTAGTATTTCGTAGTAAATTTATATTATTTTAGATTAATTCATTATCTAATTAATTTTTATTATAACATTAATATTATTTTTCAAATTAGAACATGAAACCCACATATGAACAGTGTCAAAGACGAAAACATTGTTCACGTAAACAATTAATGTAAGAAATTCTTGCTTCCAAAAATTTTAGAAATTTTGTTTTCGTTTATGAAAAATCGAAAACAGAAAAAAGCTTACCAGGCATGCTCTCTATTGTTATTTTAAAAATAACTGAATATGAAAATAGAAAATAGAAACAAAAGGGATGTCTAACTGCACCTTAGTTTCGTGATTGATATTTTTATTTAAAATATATATAAAAAAGTGAACGTAAAAAAAAATAAAAAATAAATATAAAGAAATCAAACAAACACAAATGTAGATTTCATTTAATTGGTGATTATACCATTTGTCTTTTGTTTTTGGAAGCAAAAAGGTTAAAAATGCATTTTGATACAAAAATAATAATTTTTTAAAGAATTTAATAGAAAAATGTTTTTTTTCATATTATTTTTTATTATAGACTAATAATAGCATGTTTAGTGTGACACTTACAATTATTAATCTATTTATTTTAAATCAATTATAACATTATTTTTTATAAGTAAAAAATATCAATTAAACTAAACATAATTTTAGAATCAAGAGTTTACACGTATACATATTCATTTTTATAGATTTCATTTAAGGGCATGAAAACCACATTTATTTGGAGCCTAAGAATTTTGCTTGACGTGATTAATTTTTTTATTGTTTACTTTAAAAATATTGGTGTCCGTGGAGACTTAGTTCTTGTGATGAGAAGATCCATAAACATTTCATATCGTATCGTATTGACACTAAGTTTCTTTCAAAATGGGATGGGTCGTATGTTTACCAAGAAGTTTACACTAATGATGCATACAAGATAGTTGATTAAGTTGGATTAAGGGTTGACCCAATCAATGGCAAGTTCTTAAAAAGTTATTATGCTTAAAGATTAGATGCACCTCAGTAAGAGCCTAAACTACCTCTAACAAATAATTTATCTAAGTTGAAAATCTTTACAAAGACGGCTTAAGCAAATAAATAATTAGCTTGATTTCATTGTCAAGTTAAGTCAATTAAAAAAATAATATATATTTTTGTAGACTGAGGATGATTCAAATATATACAATGATGAAACTACCAAGTTGACAAGGATAATTGAGGAATAAATCAAGTTTGTATTTCTCTTGAAATTTCATGATTCAAGCCATCTAATCGCAAGCGAAGCAAATTGCTTTTGCTAGTTGAATTTCTTTGAAACTTAATTTGTGATCAACACAAAGGTTGGATGTAAAAGTGTTTCCAAATGTTGGTCTTACAAACTCAAGGAAAATCTTTACAGTGCCAAAGTGTCTTCCAACTCTATAATAATAGCCTTATTGTGTCAAGCAAGCACATAGCTAAAGTGGATAATAGTAAGATAATCATGATGTCCATGATCAAGTGTCCTATTATCAATGATGATCTCGTCTCTGTTTATGACCAAATTTGTGCGAATCAACTCACGTGCTTCATGTTCACCAAATATTTGCCCTTGCCTTTCCCTAGGAACTGAATCATCACACTTTTACTTATATCTTATGAGGTTGGAGAGTGAGGTTTTAGATAATGACTCAACCATCCATAAACATAGCGAGTTGGGGAATATGCAATTGATGAACTCACTTGAGTGGAAAGTGCAATTTTATTCGGCCGTTTGGTAATTTTTGCCAGCAATCGGATGGAAACAAAACATTAATTACACCTTTAGTGCTAATTGTCATGAGGCCAACAATTTTAAATATCTCTAATTTAATGTCAAAGTTTGTGCTTGAAAGACTAAATACACAAAGCTTGCAAGCAAGGAATGCAACCAAATAAGTTTATGCTTTTGAATTTTCTCTAATGTCAAGTTCATTGCATGCTTGTGTGTTGTCATGCCCATGTTTCATGCTTCCAATTAACTCACCTTTGGACAAATTGACTTCTTTGCTTGTCGCACATTTTTCATGACTTGAAGTTTTGTATTAGAGATAATATTGAAGCCATCACGCTCTTGAGAAGGTTCAAAGGACCATTGTTCCAAAGTAGTGGGAGAAACAAATGTCGATGGGTGAGATAACAACATCCAACCAAATATAAGTCTTTCTGTTGAGAGGAAATAATCTCTTCTTTATACCTTCATACTTCTTTGAAATACTGACAAGTTGTATCACGGTGACAGGCTGCAAAGGAAAAGAACATGTTATAAACTGAGACAACCAAAAATAGAGTCGTGCAAAAGTTTTCTCCCCATGGCAGAGCCAACTCAATACCTTTGAACACCTAAAACGTTTAAATATTTAAATGAGGCCCTCTTTATTGAAATTAAGAAAAAAATACCGTTAGTTGAAAATCATTAAAAACATATTACGTTTATTGAAAATAAAAAATTAATTGAGAATTATTAGCATCATGGGAATTGTGAAATGATAGAAAATAAAAATTTATTAGATACATAATTGAGAAAGTGAGAGAATATATAATTTTATTAATTATTTTGATTTTTATGTGAGTGAGGAAGTGAGATAAATAGTTAAAAATTACTAGGAGATAGGAAGTGAAAGTAAATAAATATTTAATTTTAAAAATATTTTATTAATTATATTAATTTATATATATATTTAATATAATTAATTATATCATATAAAATTATGAAGCGTATAAAATTGTGAGGCCTAAGGCAAAGGCTACGGTGGCTTTATGCTAAAGCCGGCCTTTCCCCGTAGCCATGGGCAGATCCACCTTGAGAAGAGTGGTGTCACATGACACCACTCATTTGGCAAAATTTTTTACATTTTATACAATTTTTATAGAGTTTTATTAAGTTTTATGTAACTAATAATACTATGAATCTATTAATTTTTTTATAATTTTGTAAGGAATGGGGTTAAAGATTCTAAGTTAAAGTCAAATTATTAAAAAGTAATTTATTTATTAATATTTAAATATTACATAAAAAGATAAATTGTTTTATAATTTAAAATTTCATTAAAAAAATCAAAACTTGAATTACTCTCTTTCCTCAAGACCCGTAGTGACGTTTCTTTTTTTTTTTTATCCTTAATTGTTGTTTTTCACTCTCTCTATTTAAAAAATTTAAGTTCTATATCAAACGACTGATAAGTGGATGAATGATTGTTTAGTGACATATATTAAAAAAGATATATTTGATAATGTTTCGACTGATATTATTATATATGTTTTTAAAATATGAAAAATCGTCATGTATAATTATAGTTATATTAAATATTTTTACTTGTATTAAATGAATGTATTGAATTTAAACTTTCTTTAGTTTAATGTTAAAACGTTTAGTTTATGAATTTTAACTTTTTTAATATAATGTTAAAATTTTTAATTTATAAATTTTAATATATTTTTATTTTTTAATAATTATTATTATTTTAATTATGATAGTACTCGGCGATGCGTGAAAGCCAACGGAGTGAAGATTTCACCACTGTATATCGCAAATCTTCCATTATGCATCACAAAGCAGTGGCTTAACAACCATTTGTAACAATTTCTCAAGAGTCATTGGGACTTATATTCCTTTTAGACAGCCAAGGAGTGATAGAAAGTATGGGTTCGGGCGATTCCATTTGATGGAAGAGGCAAACATATTTATTCAGAAATTAAATGGAGTAAGATTTTTTTAGCATTGTCGTGCCCTTAGCTTGGCCAAGTGTCCCCGATACAAGGCTGTTTGCAGCCTCAAGAACGACGCTGTTGGTTGTCAATTACAGGGGTTCACTTTTCATCGAATTGGAAGTCTTCGGGGTACGTTTCACACTCTTGGGGAGGAGTCATCAAAGTTTTAACTCTTTTGAACGAGCTACTATGCTCATTACAACAAAGCTAGCTAAGACAAGTTAGAAAATATACAGTTAGCTGTGGGGAATCAGATTTTTAGTATTTATGTTTGTGAATTTTCCCCAGAATGTATTCTTGATTTCCCAGGTTGTGTTCCTCCTCTAGCAGGGGATTCCCGATGTTCGGGTTCATCAACCTCCGATGAGT